TTCTTCTTCTTCTTTATTTTGAGGGCCCACGATCAATGAATTGATCATTCTGGCTTGCGATGTTACTGTGCATGGGTTTCAAGGGGATACTTCACTGGTTGCAAGGGCTACTCAGCAGTGGTGTTACGAACTGGGGGTTGGAATACAGGAGGCAATAGACACAAAATGTGTCGAGTGTAGGCGCTTCAACTGTTGCTTTTGGAAGCTTGTTCCAGTCCCCTATTATCTTCAGCAGGAACGAGGAGCTCCTGTACTTTGTTCTTGTTTTTACCAGCCGGAACTGTTTGTCGTGGCCTCATCGCTGTCTAGGGGGAAGATGAACGAGTTTCTGTTTGATTCCGGAGCAGTGGACCAGCCCATTTTTTATCTTGTACAACATGGTGAGCCTGGAGAGTCGTCGTCGTTCTTCCAATGTTGACCAGCCCAGTGTTTCTAGCATGCTGCCAACACTTGACCTGATTTTGCACTATTTTTTTTTTTAAACAGACGTCACCATTGTTGCCAGAACATGTCTACCATCTTGGAAACAAAGATGGCGGCAGTGGGGGAAAAAAAAGTAGTGCAAAAACATGAGGAAATGGGTGGCGGGTATTGTGTAAATTTACCAAAAAGCCTACAATATGACATATTAATAAATGTTTCTTATTCATAGCCATTATTGGTATTATATTATATATTAAATGAATTGTGAATTGGTGGTATTTTTAAAGTAAAGGTACAGTCGAACCAGCTTATCTCAACCTCAGCTTAACTCCCCAACCCCGTTATGTCGACGTTTTTGAAGTGGAACCACCAAATTCTCTCTTTGTCTTAGCATTTTCTCCTCGGTTATGTCACTGAACCTGATATCTCGAGCACAAAAGGCGGCCAAATTTGCTACTTAACCTCAGTTCTCGATTCCCATGACCAATCGCCGGCTTTTGAAAATTATATACAACAGAAACATGCCCACTTCAAACTGTAGTAATTTGAAATGAGCTCTGGTTGTATTTCCTACACAAACAAGTTGTTAAGTTTCAGGTAATTGTCATAAAGATTGAAAGTAGACAGCACCATTTGTTGAAGTACCGGTAGTTGAGGAATTAAAGTCTCCTGCTAAATGTCAAGAAAGGTTAGAATTAGAACATAATTTTTTTAAACTCATTATTCGCATAAGTTGAGATATTTGAAAGAAGCAGGTAAAATAAATGCAAGAGTAAGAGAGATAGAAAAAGCAATTTTTGCATTCCATGGTTAGGCCGCACTTTTCACTTTTGAAATATTTTCTTGGGTGATTGCAAGTATTCCCTTCCTTGGACAACGTAGAAAGAAGCGTCACTTATTTATGTAAATGAAATCTTCCCTAGGAAAATTGTTGATAGTGATCTCTTTGATGAGCTAGCTCATGTAAAAAAAATTTTGTCACCTGCTAAGCCGGAAGAATGGAACTCACAAAAAATTTCTGTAGATTAAAAATGGATGCAAATATTTCCACATTTAAAGGCAAATGATGTACCTTCTGTACATTTGCAATTACTGCTTGAGTTTTCATTTCCGCCTCACTAAAACACATGCACCTGTGAAGAGAGCTTCCTCTCACTCAGGTAAACAATGTTTGGACACCTGAGAAATCGCAGCTGAAAGTAACTAATTTGAGATTACTGAGAAATATTTTAATAGTTCTGAGTAACATTCAATAACATTGATCAAATGTGTATCAATTTTATAAGCTTCTTGAGAATGGAAATTTGTTAAAAGCTATTCATGGGCATGGGTCTAAAAACTATTCACAGTTGTTTGTAACAAAATGATGTACAGAATCAGTAGGATATTACTAATCAGGCACAACTTTTTATCCCCCCCCCCCTTTTTTTTGTTTGTTTGTTTACCACTTATGACCTATGAGGCCTATGCCTCCCTGACTGTGAGCATTTGTGTCGGTACTAGTACTAACTAGACCCTAGGCATCCAGAAAATATGGTACGCTTGGATAAGTCTAATTAGTAGTAGCCAGGCCAATTTGACTTTTAGATCACTGACAACTTCTAATACTACAAATAACTTTATAAAACTACTTATGACATGACTACGTAGGACTACACTCGTCACTCAACTCAGTGTCTACAGTCTATAGTATAGCTTGACATATCATCTAAGACATTATTGAGTCGACTGATCAGTGACTCGGTCACTAAGTTAGTTGATCCTCTAGGCCTAGTAAATTTCCTTTACGGCGTTCTATAAATATTGATAACAATTTAATTTACCTCACGTTCAGCTGGTCCTTCGTTTAGTTTTACACAGTAAAAGCTGATTAAGACTGGTTCATTAACAGGTTTCTCTTACAAAAATAAATTGCACTCGTTCCCAGGCTATCAATTGGATAGACGAAATTGGCTTTGACCAATAGAAATTTTGCCGGAAGCGGAGAATATATACACTCTTCTATTAAAGAAAAGAAACATATTAACCATTAAAAGATGGTATTAAAATATCCTTTAAAATATTTACGTTTTAGAATTATGAATAATTCAATTTTTTTTTTTATAAAACGTATTGTCATTTTCACTCAAATTTTAAGATACAAAATCACACAGAAAGTAGAAATTAAACAAGGAATGGCGAATCAACAGCCCTTGGAACATGCGGTCCGCCGAAATGTGTCGTACGAACCGCAAAATCTCCTAACTCATCCAGGAACTGATTAATGATAATGTCTCTAAAATGTACAAATTGTAAACTATTATCTTTAAATGATATTTTGAAAATAAACATAATATCAATCACAGATTAAAATTATCTTAAGGTTATAATTTCAATATAATTATTTTATTCAGCTTATATTAGGAGCGGTCAATTTTCGGAACAGTTCAGTATGAGATTTATAAATCGAATATACACTATTATATAGTGTAAGCCCATAATAATATTAACCTTAACATACGCCTCATCAAATACATCGAGTTAAGCGATATTTCACAGGTTCCATAAATTATAATTGGTTAAAGGCACCAGTTAATATTCTTTTTGAAATGTTATAAAAATGACAATTTATTGGATTTTTATAAAATATATTTTCTATTTATTGATGTGCACATTTTTTCCCCCTGGGATGGGGGAGTTGACTTTCTTCGCTATCCGGGGTAAGGGGACGGGGACCCCCCCCCCTGAGAGACGCCTGAAAGAGATACAGATGTTGGCCTTTCGTCTTTTTAACGTTCATCCTGAGTGCTCTGCAGCTTGGAAAATAGATCGCTGCGAAACAAGCTTCGTAGTTTCGCTAGAGACACTTGCAGCGATATTTCACCATCGTCCCTTAGAGTGCATTAGACGGGCAGATGCCATAGAAAACGGGCTTGACCCCACCCCCTTTTTTTCTCTAAAAAATATCATGCCAATATTCAGGAGGAGAGACCACCGCCATTTCCCATTGTGCACCACCCGTCAAAGTTAGTTAGATGTGTTAAGTTTTGATTTTTCGTGAGGTGGGGTGGTGACACGCAACCGTTGTTTTGCCCAAATGTTTCATAACCAACCTCCCCACAAAATTATAAGAGTGTTGGACTGCGATAGAGCTTTAAAATACTGATGAAGGCATGTGCCGAAACGTTTACTTGTGTATTATGTACAATTATCAAAGCTTAACATGTAGGTATTGTTATATTGACACAAATTGTTCGTGACTAATTAATCACAACACAAATAGGAGTTATATGAGCGTATTATGTTCCTTGATTTACCCACCCCCTCCCCCGGACATAAACACACTTTAAATAAAAAATGAATTACACAGCTCTATCCTACTTTAGTTTTCGGTTTACAATTTTCAATCTGATAATACTTTTGTGTTCATTCTAATACTGGAACGAAAACCTGGCCAGTTTGTATCAGGGCTAACACACCTTGGGAAATTTCCCAAGATCTTGGGAATTCACGACCCCCCTTGGGATCTGGGGAATAATTTTGAAAATCAGGTAAAACCTTGGGAAATCTTAACTGGGATGAAAATCTTATGATATTTTTTCGAAAAATGCATAACAAAATATACGTGATAAAAAAATAAAGTGGAAATAAAGCAAACTAATTTTTAAAGTAACAAGGAAAAAAATTAATTTTTTTTAAATTTTCTTTTCTGGTTTTAATTTTTAAAACCATTTATAAATAAATAAAAACTCTTCTGAAATTAAAGTTAATATTGTAAATTAATAACAAGTTAATAATTAAAGAAAAAAATAATTTTCTCTTTTTTTTTAGTTGAAGATTTGCAAATTACAACCAGGTGTTAAATGTTTATTAAACAGGGGGGGGGGAGGGGGG